TGTGAACAAACTTCTCTTAAGCCTTCCCACAAATCTGTAAGCACTTCATGCAAAATAGCAAAGCACTGCTGCTGCCACTGTGTGCGCCAGGTGAGCCAGTGTTGCGGTCGTCAGCATAGCAGCTCCAGAGGGAACCACGGGGATGTGAATACCTGCCCCAGGAATTTGAACTGAAGGCCTTTGCTACACTCACCACATCAGCTTTTCGGGTGAGATCTTGTTAGACCACAGGGTATGGTAATGTCATTTGGGTCTTCCCCATTTCTCATGGGAAATGGTATGAGCACAGTCTCAGACTACTGCAACATCTGTGTACCTTACAGTATACACAGTGTAAGCATAGTCTCGTGATATAAACTTAGCATGAGAATTACAGGCTTAAGTCTGATTTCAGTCTGGAGCATTGCTTTGTCCATCAGGAAAAGCAACGTATTTTTATGAAATATCCAGAAATGTACGTTTCGGAAACTAGTAAGCTTAAAAACTTACCAATCCTTAATCTATGAGTTCTTCCAGAATCAGGCAATAACTGTGTTTAAAGAGCAGATTTCAGTTTGTTACTGGTATCATTTTTGCATCCAAGTGTTCTGTATAACCTCCTAAGTAGCCTGTATCTGTACCTTTAAGTTAAAAAAATCCTGGCATGTAATTGTAACTTGAAAAAGAACATTATGAACTATTTCCAATTTACTTAACATTAGAAAGACTCCCTAGGTCTCTTACTGGTAGACATTCCATCTTAACTCAATTTTGTATTACACAAGGCAATCTCATTGAAGCATTCTAATTGAAGCACTAACTACTGGAAATTATACATGTGGTCACTGCATTAGAAAAATCTGTCACTGAGGTAACTCTTGTCTGAACACAAGAAAACAACAATAAAATTGCTAGAAACAGAACTAAATCTCTGCCACAACTTCCCCACACACACTAGGAGGCACATTTAGATCTGACTGCTTTCCAAAGTAGTGCAGAAGTCTTAGCTATGACTTGCTAGACTGCCAAGTTTTATTTTTTGGTGTAGATATTTCACACTGCCACAGCAATGGATTTTAAAAATCATGTTTAAAGTCCAATTCACCATGTCTAAAAATCTGATTAAGAATTTAGATAAATCTCACTTTGTGTTTAACACACTTAAAAACAGCAAAAAAGGATGTAACACAGCCTCACTACAGATATATTCAGGCAAAGCACAGAACTGAAATATTTACAGAATATTTCTGTTTGACTGAACATTCCCTAAGGAATTCACACTATTAAAGAACAGTGAATTGCTAGCATACTGTTACTAATTACCTGCTTATTGAAAATTATGTAAAAACTTAAAGTTTCCAGCTAGCAGTTTAATACAACTTCTATTTCTCATCTTAATGGAATAAATCGTCAACTTGAAAATACACGAAAATATTTTTATTGTTACGGATTGGTTCAACGGGAAAAACTGTCATATAATTAAGAAAACAATGTTGCTGAAACTAACTGTAAGTGCTTCAATAAATCTAGAAACCACCTATTATGAATTCCCTTATCCAAGTACTATAAAAATAATCCTGGCCATGCTTCACACATCATACTAGGTTTTCTCCTGACCTGAGCTGCTGAGGACAGAAAAATGGGAGGTGTGAGAGCTTTCAAAGAAAGTTTATCACACCAAACAGAGCAGCGAGGTTAGAACAGCGATTATAAAGCTGAATTTTTCCTATCACCCCAGCTGATTTTCCAGCTGAAGATAAATGGTGCTAAAGAGACAATGTTCACAGAAAAAGATAAGGAACTGTCGTTTAGTGACTTCAAAAACTTAATCTTGCTACTAACAATATGATGAAGTCCCAGGAAGAAGGGGTCCCAGGGTCACAAGAGTGACTGGCAACAGTGGAGTTGGAAAAATAGTTACAAGGAACTGGAAAAAACATGCAGATACTGCTGCCAGTCTGATACATTGTGTGACTTTTACAGAAGGTGAAATCAACAATCCCAAGTCTGCGCTGCAAATATCCCAGAACCATGAGAGACGATGGAGGTCGCCTACCTCTGCACAGAGCTTTCTGCAATGAGTAAGTTCTGCACAACTCTTGTAAGGGCTCCAAGCACAGGACAGCAATGGTCACCTCCTTGTATTAATCTTGAGCCCACATTAAAAAGCACCTAAACTGAAATTAAAGATTTTATTTTTTTGCCTCTGGCATGATTTTCCCCACATGAGATATTGACTCCAGAATTAACCCTTCCAATTTTTCAGAATGAAATAGGTATTCCCCCTTCCATTTTGATGTTTTCTCTTCAAAACCAACTTCTTAATCAAGGAGAGAGATTAGGATAGGCAGGACACAGAACTGAGTAAGTTCCTCATAGATGGTAAAGATTCATTGGTCTCAAGGACTACAGGAAGAAATTAACAAAGAGAGCAAAGGAAAAGGGAGGCTGTTTGTGACTCAGTGATGGCCTCAATTTCTCTCACAAGATACACTTAATAGTACTCCACAGAGGAAACGGACAAGGACTTTATGTACCAAAAGCCCTGCGTCATCTTTGAGATATTTACAGAGTCAGAGAAGCAAGTGGTTGAAGGCTTCCATCCAGAACAGAGTTTGCTTCTTTCTGAACTTGCATTAGTTTCACATTACTTTAATGAGTACAAAGCAAAGGCGCGTAAGCCTAAGGGAATGAAAAGCTTCATGAATTCTTGCAGACTTCCCAGTCCCCAGTGGAAAGCCTTCCTGCGGTGGGCTCACCCTGGCTGGACTCCAGGAGCCTGGAGCACCTCCTCCCCATCCTTCACTGACCTTGGCGTCTGCAGAGTTGTTTCACATTATTCTATCTCCTCTCTCCAGCTGAAGTAGCCAGTTGTTTTTATTTTTGTTTTTCCCTCTCTTCTTAAATATGTTGTCACAGAGGTGCTACAATTGTTGCTGATAAGCTTGGCCTTGGCAAGCAGTGGGTTCATCTTGGTGCCCGCTGCCATTGGCTCCATTAGATGTGGAGGAAGCTTCTAGGAGCTTCTCACAGAAACCACCCCTGCAGCCCCTGTTACCTAAACCTGGCCATGTAAACCCGATACACTTCTAAAGGTTGCTCTGTAACCCCTCCGGATACCCCAGTCTCTGACACTCTGAAGCTACATGCTGCTTAAAATAACTTCTTAGGATACCCACAAACTCAGTGATGTTCTTATTCTGTGGATACTTCGCAGCAAAGAGGGAGGGACACCTTACCCTGCTCAGGTATTCAGGTTGGCAAACCAGCACTTACTACTAGGTATGGCTAAACAGTAATTAGTAAGGAAAGGACAAAATTACTACTGACTGCTACCATGTGACCTTAATCTGTAAACCATAGTTAAGGCTCTTTGGTAACGTACTACAAATGGGCAGGTAAAATATACCGTGCCTTAAACTTAAACATACAACACACTAAGGGTTCATGTCCTTTCAACACTTTGTTCTAGCGAATCTACATTTTAATAAAGGAGACACAGAAAACACAGTAATTTTTAAATGGAGCTTCTAGCATCACTTTATCATTTACAGCTTTAAATAAATATCTATCCCAGTTAAGATATCTCCTCTGGAAGATAAATGCCCAGTTCTAGAGATCATTCTTTATAGAAGCTATTTACCAGAGCACTATTTTTCTTTATAGTGCTATTAGCTAATTATTCTCTCCCAGAAGTAAAGCATACATCAGGATACTGATTCAAACAGCTGTTATTCCCATGCCACTTCTACAGACACCAGCTATATATAAACATGAAGTTACTCCAAGAGGTTTATTTTCTGTCACAGCCATACATTCTTCGGTGTCTATCCTAGAAACAGGCTGTATAACAGGGACTAATTCCTCTGAAATTGTCGTGAAATAACCACTTATTTGCAGTATCCACCTCAACGAGTCAAGTCAGCTAGAGCCAGTGGACATTTAGATACGCTGTTCTAGTTCTCATAAAATTAATAAGCTACGTTAATTCCTTCTGAATTGTTCAGGTACGTGTATAAATATTTGTACTAATGGCATTAAGCTATTTTGTGCATAAAGCTGTAAGTGTTATGTAGAAAGTTAGGTTTCTGATCAAATAAATGTCGAGATTTGGTTTAGAGAGTTTCTGAGGGGGCAGTGGAAGAAGAGAGGGAGAAGGCAGGTGCAAGAAAGGTTGAGATAAAAGCAAAAAAATGTCTAAAGAGCAAAACTATTTTCTGGAACTCATGAACACTTTTATTGGTAGCCTCCGTAACAGAGAAGTCCATACAGACTTGGGTTTAGAGAGGGAATGCTAAAACCTTTAAAATATATGAAACATTAAAAGCATTGTCCTTGAAAATGTTGTTTTCTATAGGACTAAATCCATTTTCATGATGGTAGTTTTCATAAGTTTTCTTTATCTTACTGCTCTGTAAGTTTAACTTAAATTACCATAAAAAATCATAAGGGTCTATAATTTTCAATCATGTACAATATAAGTATTTTGATATGGTTTTTAATTTTTAATACAATAAAAAGATAAATATGCATGGCCTATTGAAATACACTGTATATTGTTAAAATTTTAGGATCTTTTCTGAAGCTTTCATAAACATGTTTTAATCGTCTAATCATTCAAGAGTTATATAACCACAAAGATAGGCTGAGGAAAAAGGGCAGAGTATTATTCTCAGCTTTAGCTCAGCTTTAATTCTCAGCTTTAGCTGAGAATTAAAAATCTACTGACAACACGATTTTTCAGCTTTTTGTAAAGCAGATACCTAACATAATATATTTAAGAGGTACATAACTATTTTGCTAAGTGCACTGTAAGCATCTTTATAGTAGCACTTATAACCTGAAGCTGTAATAATATCAAATAATTCAAGTCGGTAAAGGTGACAAGAGTTGACCACATTTGCCACAGGTTCAAGTCTGAATTAAGTCTAAGGAGATTGTTCCGAGTTCTGCAGTGATCGTTAGGACCATCCCCTCAAAATTTTACACTTTATGCACAATACGTCAACAGCTCAACTTACGTATTCACCGTACGTCTCCTGGGCTGGAGGTGGTGGAAGGGGCCGGTAGCCTGCAGGTGGAGGTACTCCTCTTGTTCTGGGTGCCAGAAGTCCTCGGCTACGACTGACTGGTCCTCTACTGGGAGGCACTCCTCTAGGTGCTGGTGCCCCTCTCGGTACTCCTGCCGCAGGTGGAGGCACTCCTCCACGGCCCCTGTGGACATACGGACCACTTGCCATTAAACACCACACCCCAAATCCTCCCTGTCAGCAGCTCCCTCCACCCCCAGCAAGACAATTTTGTTTTGCGACAGCCAGAAAAAGGTCTAAAAGAAGTTTACTGTTTGACTTTTTTTTTTTCCTCTATGCTTTAATCCAATTACACACACAATGCAAAAAATGCTGAAAGATACGAAACTAGACATGTGATGAAGTGATGAACTTCTCACTAGCTCGAGCCATTCTCGCATACACAGAGACACCAAAACCAATTTCCTGGAATCGGTCACCTTTACTAGAATTTGACTTTTAGTACATGAAATCACAGTCATAGAATAACAGATTAATTTGAAGATGTCAGGCTATATCATACTCAAACTCTGCACAGAGGAATGAGTTGCAGCTTGCTTCCGATCCTGTGTCAGCTTCTACATGCAAAGAACACAGTGCGTGTAAGAGAACGAGTGAGTCCGAAAAAATCACATTTTCTTCTGGTTCTAAAGAGATTTCCAGCTGTTGCAGACATATTTAAACACGTAATTAATGTGCAGGGTGATTATAGGATATAACCTGATGTTCTATATGTATTTAAGAACAAAAAGTAACATATATTTACTTCTAAAGTTCTGAAACAATGGTAAGCTTCCAGACATCTAAACCAAAATAGTTTAAAAAAATATTTGATAGATTTAGAGGTGGCATTCCCTCCCTGCCTCCCTGTAGTAAAGGGAGAGACTTAGAGGTATGATCTGTGAGAAATCTGCATCATTTATTCTAAACAGGATGCCTAAAACATTGCTAATAGATGTCTCCTTTTTAAAGGAGATCATTTCACCCCATGGACTATAATTGAATTTAAATGACTGCGCTGTAGGCAAATATCCTCATTGTATTCTCTAACATATACACAGAAGAAAACATAAGCACAAGTTCTACACTACTTTTCTACATATCAAGCCATCATCTAATTAATCTCAAAATGAAATTGAGTGAAAATACTCTGTCCTGATTTCAGTAGAAATTTTCAACTTGATCTGATAAAGTAAGACTGAGATTTGGTCTTAGGTTTTCCTATCCCATTTCAAATAAGTCATATAATTTCTCACTGGTAAACTTATTTAAAAAAATCATTTTATCACAAATAAAATCATTTTATAATACATAATTAGTATTTGAAAAACTGCATCTCTAAATGAAGAATGTAAAAATGTAAATACTTGATACAACCAGGATAGATTTTATTAATTCAATTAATTACTGATCAAAACACAGTTACAAAGTATTTTAAACAAGCCTAAAGAGTAAGTGATTTAAAGCTGTGCTTATTACTTGGTTTTGGCTAATCTGTAGAATGCCTCCTCAGGACAGGGTACCAGCTGCTTATTTGACTTCATTGTAGTGGGGGCAGGGGTGAGCAGTGAAGTTCCCAGACACAGCCTGCTGAAGTAATATAAAGAAATAGCAAATGTGATACTTTCCAAGTGAAGCCAAAGAAAGGGCATGAACCTACTGGCATAGACAATAGTCAATACCAAGTTAATTTATTTTTTTTTTTTAAAAAGTAGTCAGTAAAAAGGACTCAAGAATCACTAGCCATAATCTTCACAGCATCCTTCAGACAGGGTGCAAGTGAAAGCAGCACGAAGTAGGACATGCTGAAAAACACGGGAAAAACATTTCAGAGAGGTGAAAAAAAAAAAAAAAGTACAGTTTTAAGAACCAGAACAGATTTATTCCTGAAGAGTAATTAGGAAATTAGGACACCAGATCCATGTGATGAGATGATCTTTTCTCATTTCCAAAACAGTTTATAGGACTGGAATGGTGATGGGAGGGAAATCTTATTTCTCCTATATTAGAAGACCACTTACATGCTCTTTATAAGGAGTTGCTGCAGGGAATAAGCAATCTGAATAAGAATAAGTAATGTATAGTTCTGTACTACACCACTCAGGTGGTTACTGCACCAGGCTGGAGGAGACTGTAAAGGCGCAGAAATAGGAAACCCAGTAACAGGGGAGTTCAATTTCCATCATGCAGATTTGAGTATCATCAGGGTATAATGCTAAGAACAAATTTTTAGAAACTGTTATTTCATTAAGTAGTTACCAGGGAACTAAAAGAAATTTGATTGACATAAGCAATGAAGAAAAAAATTACTTAAGATATTGAGGAATCACTTTGAATAGGAACCTTTGCAAAAACAACAGATCAGTTCTGATATTGCTTAATTTGAAGAAGGACAGCTACATAAATGTTTAAAAATATTTAAGAGAGTAAAAAGTAAATACACAATATGGGAAGACAAAAAAAATCCCATGGGAAGTCAGAGCAAATACATAATTTTTTTTTTTTAAAAAAAAGATACAGGGTCAAAGGAGCTTGGTAAGGCTAGAACAGGGTAAAGAGAGGTATTACTAGAAAAGCTGAAATGATCTCTAACATCAGAGGACAAATGTTAATAAAACAAACATAAAATACACAGAAAAGCAGGTCACTGAATTAAAGAATTTGTAAAAAGCCTAAAAATAAAGTCTTTCAAGCATCCTGGAACTGGGAAAACTGCCAGAGTCAAATTCCAAATCACTAGTGAAGAACAGGAAGAAGGTAAGTATATATGTACATATACATTCATTAAGTTTTTGCTGCGCAATCATGAAAGATCAGACAAGGTTCTCATGCTGGAGTCTCTCCTTACAGGGAAAGCATTGGATGTTGCTGCTGACTGACTTACAGAGACAAGTTACAGGACAAAATGAGCAATTAAAAGTAATTGCACTATCGTTCCATAAACTACAATGGGAGTTTCAGGTATGTGCCTCTTTAATCTGTATCCGAACTCCAATCTGAATGTGAAGGAAAAAAAAGGAAAAAAAAAATAAATCAAAGCAGCAAAATGTAAGAGGGAACAGTTTCGACTTAATATACATACATACACATAAATGTATAAATCCTAATATTAGACAAAGTAATAAGATTCTGAGCTACCACCACCCACAGAACACTTTTAAATTAAGATTGGCCCAGTGCTCAGGACACTAAAAACCAAATCAAGTTATAGAAAATATAAGAGACTATAGAAAACTTTGTTACCCTACAGTGTGTATTTACAGTCTTGTTTCCTAATCTGGAAAGAACATCAAAGAAATAAATGGATGTGTATCAGAAACTATGTCAAAGATGACCAGCAGTATAGAACAGCTTACACATAGGGAACAATTAAATAGATTTAGGCATGTGATACTACAAACAACAACTGAGGCTTATATGAATCCAACAGAAATATCAAGAATATACATAAGGAATTATTCATCAGTCGTTCTCAATCTAAGACTCAGAGGACATCAACTGGCAGAGATGGAATATTAAACTACACTGCTTTAACGTCTGAGCCACTATGCCTGCTACTATAAAATGCAATCACTGAACGGCAACATGCTTGAGGTTGGAAGCGACCTTTGGTGGTCATCCAGTCCAACCTCCCTGCTCAAGCAGGGCTGCCTTAAGCCAGTTGCCTGGGACTGCGTCCAGATGTCTTCTGAGTATTGCCAAGGAGCAAGACCCCTGTGCCAGTCTCAGTCACTCTGACAGTCAAGTGTTTCCTGATGTTCAGAGGGTACTCCTGTGTCTCAGTTTGTGTCCACTGCCTCTGGTCCTTGCACTGGGCACCACTGAAAAGAGTCTTCTCTAGGCTGAATTATCCCAGCTCTTTCAGCCTTTCCTCATAGCAGACAAGCTCCAGACCCTTCGTCGCCTTTGTTGCTGTTCAACGGGCTACCCAGTATGCCCACAACCCTCTGGTACAGGGAGCTCAGAATGGGACACAGTATTCCAGCTATGGCCTCACCAGTACTAAGTAAAGGGAAAGGATCACCCCACTTGGCTTGCGAGCAACACTAATACACCTCAGGATACCATTAGCTTTCTTTGCAGTAAGGGCACAATGATGGCTCATGTTCAGCTTATGTCCACCCAGGTCCTTTTCAGCCAAGCTGTTTTCCAGCACATATTGATGCATTGAGTTGTTATTCTCTAGGTGCAGGACTTTGCATGACCCCCTGGCTGCATTTCGTGTGGCTCTTGCAAGGCCATTTCTCCAGAGGTCCCTCTGGATCGCAGCACTACCCTCAACATTTCAGCTACTACAGCTAGCACAGCATCACCTGCAAACCTCCCGAGGGTACACTCTGCCCCATCATCCAGATCATTTATGAAGTTAAACAGGATTCAATTCAGTATCTACCTCTGGGTTACACTGCTTGTTACTGGCCTCCACCTGGACATTCTACCACTGACCACCACCCTCTGGGGCTGGCCATTCAGCCAAATTTTAACCCACCTGTCTCCTCATGCAGCCCCACACATTAGGAGTTCCTCTATGAGGATCTTGCAGGAAACAGCCTTCCTGAAGTCACAGCACACTATCCACTGCTTTCCCTTACCTATTAGGCCAGTCACTTCATCAAAGAATGCTATCACACTGATCAAGCACGACTTCCTTTCCATAACTCCATGTTTACTATTCATGATGACCTTGTTTATGTACCTGGAAATGGTTTTCAGGATTAGTTGTTCCATCACCTTTCCAGGGATTGAGGCCAGGAGTGACATTTACTTTCCCCTAGTCCTCAGGCACCTCTGTTGATCTGCATAACTGTTCAAAGACTGAGTGGCCAGCTCCCTCAGCACTCATGGGTGCAGCAGAACCCACTAACTTCTGACCCGTTTGCCTAGCTACTCTCCAACTGGATCCTTTTCCACCAAGGTTATGCCTTTCTCCTCACTTCTGGATCCTTGGATTTCAGAAGGCCCTCTGACCAGTAAAGACCGAGCACAAAGAGTCATTAGATACCTTAGCCTTTACCATGCCCTGTATCACCACGGCCCCTGCTCCATTCAGCAGTAGGCTCACATTTTCCCTAGACTCACGCCCTATTGCTACTTAAGTATTCGCAGAAACATTTCTTGATGACTTTGACATCCCTCACCACATTA